CACAGCCAGAACCCACCCCCCCCCCCCCCCCCCCCCCCCCCCCCCAACCCACCGCCTTCAGTCTCATGACAAAGAGTAAATCTTCGCTGTCCTGTGTGGTAGCCAGTAGCCACATGGGGTTACTGAGCACTAGAAATGTGGCTGATCCAAAATAAGGTGTTTTCTAAGAATAAAATTCATATTAGATTTCGAAGGCTTCATTCGGAAAAAAAAAATACCATACTTTAGTAAGTTTTTTATATTGATTCCATGTTAAAATAATAACAGTTTTGACATGCTGGGTTAAAATCTGTGTTAAAATTAATTTCACCTGTTTCTCTGGACTTTGAAAAATGGGCCTAGTATTTTGATCGCTACTTGAATGATATTTGAATTGCATATGTGGCTTACATTGTATCTCTGCGAGACGCACTGGATTAAACTGCCTTCCTGACGCTGGTCCCAGGGATGATCACGTGGACCTTCAGAGAAGAGGAAGGTTTGGGAAGAAGGCACGGGAGCGAGAGGGGTTAGGTCCTGGCCAAGCCTAGTGTGAACCCCGCTCCCGGGGCACTAGTCTCCTCAGTCCTGGGGGGAGGCAGCTCTGTGTTATAAGGTCACCCACACTGCTCTTTCCTACTTCTTCGTACTTCAGGGTGCCCTTCCTGCCTTTTGGGGTTCCTTCTCTGCTGCCATGCTGAGGATGCTCTGTGATCCTGCCATTTTCCCTTCAAAAGGTTCTTTTTTAATCTTAATCCCACCGCCACCCCCCTCTGCGGCCCACTGCCTTGACCCCACCACCTGCCTGGGATTTCTTCGTTCTGATTTGGCAGCATCCCTTAGCCAGACCCCCACTCCTGACACCACAAGCCAGGTCTGTGTGGTGAGTCACAGATTACAAAGCAATTCACATGCATCATGTCCTTTGACAGTCTTCCTCCTACCCCAGCACAGCAAAGCTCTGTCCGTAACAAGAGTAAATGAAATGGTCAAAGTCGGGGGGAAGGCATCTGAGAATGAAAGGTAGATCGAAGGCTTTGGACTCTGAGCGCAAGCTGTCCGTGAACTTGAGGTTACCTTCCGAGGACCGGAAGTGAGGCGAGAGCAGCAGGGAGGAACTCTCCACAGGTACCTCCGTGACGTAAGCACGCACCTGTGTGGGCTCGAGGCCTCTCTAAAATGAACGGCAGGATGGCCAAGGAGACTTGGTGCCCAGGAGCCCCCCTGCTCCCCGTTTGGCTGGGAGGACACGGAGACGTGGTGAGGTAACAAGACGTGCCTGAGGCCTCGAGCAAGCCCGCGACAAAGCTGCTCGTGGGACCCCAGGATCAGGTCTCTGTGCTGATCTTCACGGTCACCTTCACACTTAGGACCTTATGGACTTGCTTTCACTTTTGGAAAATACAGTTTACTTTAAAGGCAAAACCCTTTGGAACAGAGAGTTACGAGCAGACGCTAGGGACCGTCAGAGAAACGACCAGAAAAAAGTCCTATGCCCATGGCTTCCCTCCCTTCTATCCCCACCCAGTCAGGATTCTGGGACAGCCACACAAGTCCTCAGAAAACGGAGGACTACATCAATGCATTCGTTTAGTCTCAAGCCCCTCCCCCTTATGTTAAATTTCCACTTTTATTTGTACATTTTTACAGATAGTCTTGAATAGCAAAGCAGACCCACCAGGGGTGGAAACAGGACAGGAGTATGAGAATGAGTTAGTGAGAGCTCTCCACGAGAAAGGCATCATCCCATTCACAACACAGACACCCTGATCCATCCAGGCTGGAGAGGGCCTACAGGTGACCAGGAAAGGAAGGGAGAGGCTTAACCAGAGGGAGACATGGGAGGCAGGAGAGGACACAGGGACACAGGGTTCCCCAAGGAGCAACACCCAGGCCCTGGAAATGAAGAGGAGTTGCGATGGCTGAGGTCGGTGTCTGTCAAAGGGAGGCCAGGTGTGAGCTCCTGCCGTGCCACCCCCAAGCTCACACCCAGCTCTCTGGTTCTCAATAGTGAACAAACACCCGCTATAGTTGGTGGGGCTCCATCCCCTTCCTGGTGGGGCTCCATCCATCTAGGGAGCAATGACATGGCCATCTCTTAGAGAACGTCTCACAATAACACCAAAACCTTATTGCCTGCAAAGCAGAGTTTACAAACCCTCCCGGAAATTCATTCTTTCCTTGTGTAGAACCTAAGGTTCAGTTTTTCCAGATTCTACCCAGAGACTCCCCAGTGGAGGCACCACCCAAAGGAATTCCTATAAGAACCCATGCGCTTCTGCTGATGCCTTCAGCTCCACCAACTGACAAGAGAGAGAGACCCCAGTTCCTTAACCTTGTTCCCAATCTTAAACTGAACAGATCGTTAAAATGTTTTAGAATCTGGTCTTCTCCCACCACAAAGGCATGTACAGCTAGAAGTAACGTTAGGAGGATAGTAAAGAAGAAAACAAGGCATTGACCTGTGCCTTGGTTAACAGTTCGCTGTTTTAGCTCATATATGCTGTTTGCTCCATATGGGTTACTCATTCTGTCACCTCTGGGCATAAGCAAGAGGGATTAAGGATGTCTTTTGCAAAATTGGCTTTGGGCAAAAGGAAGAACGCCTAGGAATGGGTTGATTAGGGAGCCAATGTCTCTGAAGGACCTGAATGATGGAGTAAATTCCCATGTGCTTACGTGGACAAGCAGCCAAGATGACTTCTCACTCTACATTATCCTTTCAGCAGCAAGCGGGGACCCTGCTGCCGCAGGGCAATTCGAACGGTGCATAATTTATGTGACACCTCATGTTTGCAAATCACTTTGCAGTGTCTTTGTCACCCTTAATGTACCATGAGGTAAAGTGTTATCACTGTCCTCATTTTGTGGACGAGGAAATTCAAGTATGGAGAAGACACAGTGCCCAGAGTCACAAATCATTTTAGTGCAGAGCTGAAATGAAGTTTACAGTAACTGAGTTATGCAAGTGTAGCCTAATTACTGAGTTACTCTAGCTTCAGTGCTCTTACACCTAGAATTAGATTGAGATGGCACTCAAAAAGAGAGAAAGAGAGAGAAAGAAAAAAAAACACCCCAAAGTAGGAGCTTTTAGCTCTGTTCCAAGCCTGCCACTAAGCTCTGGTATTGAGCTTTGTCAAAGGCCTATTTGCTATCTTTGGTGGCTCAGAGCCTTGTGCTCTTGCTGCTATGAACACAGACGAGGTCAATTCCACACAGACCAGCGTGGTTCTGCGACCATGGACTACCCTCCTAGCCCCAACTTCCAAACCAGAGGCAACCACTGACTGGGATGTGTTGGGGCTATGACCCTTGTGAGCAATGGAATTATGAACAATCTTTCCATTTTTATAATTTTCTACAGTGAGCAATACTATTTGGGGGGTGGGTGGGGGAGATTAAATAGCCAATAATAATGCAGTCTAAGAACTAACAATAATGTTTAGGAAACATTTTGCACCATGGCAGCATCAACAGAAAGAGGGCAAACACCGCCCACCAAGTTGACTGCCTTGAGAGACACCAGAACCGTTTGTGTCCATCAGCTTAGGTAGACTTGTTTAGACACTGGCCCCCTTACTCAATTGTATACCAGCTGGAAGACAGCACAGAAGTCAACCTGGCTGGTATGCACCAAATAGTTTTATCTGTGATGAAATCACCTCTCACGATGATTCATCATATTTCCCTGGAAAGGGGTAGATATGTACTCTGGGGTGGCTGGTCCCAACTTTCAGAAAGTTGGCTTCACCTTAGCTATAAGAATCAACCAAGAATCTCCCCTAAACCACACCAAAGATGACCAGAGTGTATTTTTTCCCACTCCTTCTCCCAAGATACTTGAAAACAGTTGATTAGTGCTCTCAGAATAGGCCAGGTGGAGACAGAGTCAATTCTAGATGTCTCTGGGTGATGGACTCAATTTCATTATTCTGCATCTGACTTGGGTGGGCAGCTTCGGAGACCAAAGCAGCATATCCTCCCACTAACTCAGCACACAAAAAAAAATGTGATGGCTTCATTCTAGGCCTCCTTTGACTGTGGATAAATATTAAGATGTAGAGCCTTGGACTATCTTCTTCCCTTATCCTCAGCAAGAGAATATACCAAAGTGGCCACAGGGCCCAGGGTGCTGCCTATGGATGTGTGGTCTTGATTTGGTGGAGTTGTTGAGTCTTGGTGACTTCATGATCCCTGAAGCTGAAAGGGTAGAGCTGTTGAAAGGCTAAGGGTAAAGCTGGAACAAGCACATGTTAGAATGTTTTGTACTTTGATGCCCAGGAGCCACAGACCTCCTTATAAAACCTAGAGCCACAACATACAAGGAAGGGGCTGCTTGGAGAGTATGAGCCCCTCTAGAGACAAATTCCTTAACTATTTTAATTGACCAACGTTAATGCAGAAGGAAAGTACCAGTGGGTGGAGAGAGGAACAGGAAATAAAAGGAACCATAACTGCCAAAATGGGGAGAGAAAGAAATAGGACCTCTTTCCAGGCAGACACCCCACTTTCTTGACCCCTCAAACTCATAGGGTAAGGAAGAAAATAAAAGCTGAAGTGGCCCCCATGCTCCAGGTTGATGTGCATGGAGCTCAAAACACACACAAGGTCATAGGCCTTGCATGCACACGTGTGAGGAATATGAACTTGACCTGGACTGGGGGCTGGGGCTTTAGTGAAGTTGTGGACCCTAAATCCCTCAGAAGGTTGGGTTCTGCATTGATATGGAGTTAGCAGAATCTGACTTAAAGAGTCTTACGGTCAAGGTGCCCCCTTCTTTCTCCTCCCTTTCTTCCTTCTCTTCTTCCTCAGCCACCTCACACCACGAAGCTTCAGCAACTGCTTGGAGCAGCATGTTTTAATCTGGACTCAAGCTTCCATGCTGGTCAACTGGGAAGTTCTCCCATTGGCCAGGACCTGCTATCTGTGCAAGGCTTTGATCCTGGCCACATGGCTGGGCACTTTCTGGGCCCCAAGCAGGATCAGACCTCAGAGTGTGTGTGTGTCTGTACCTATCTGGCCCCATCACCAAAACAGCAGCTCAAAGCTCCTACGCTGCTGCTGGTAACTTGAGCCCAGATGGTTCTTTTTTCCCAGGAGTCCTCCTAACATTTCAGGAAGGTTTCAGAAGGAGGTAGTAAGCTGTGTTAATGGTCTCTCATAAAGATTAGTACTTGAGAGAGTGGGTGATCTAGTTTCGGCAAGCATGGCATAAAAAAAGGAGGGTATACATAGTGATGGGTCTGTGAGGCAGCATCCTCAAACATGGTTACTAAAGAAAAGTTTAAATGATTGATAGAAAATTGCCCCTTTTGGGTTCTTTCCCCGATTTCCTGCAACTAGAAAACATCTGGAACTTGGGTCGGGTCACACAAAAGCCACCTGCCCCAAATGGACACTCATGGATACCTGTCATTCATTCCCTGCTCGGCGGAGCCCATTCAAGACACTTGGAAGGAAGACAATGGCCTCTCAATCTGAGATACTTCTCCTCACTTTTCCTCAAGCCCAAGTATGCCCTTCCCCTTAAGAGGGAAATACAACTTTTCAAAGAAAAAATTTAAACAATTTTCTGTACAATTGAAAGCTGAATTTTCCTGAAAATTATTTCCCTTCTTATAGAACAAATCCTCTGTTTTAGAAATAATCCTTAGAAGCTGAGTTGGAAATTAACAGCATTTCCCGCTACACCCCTCACCCCTCATTGCCCAACACGCCCATGCACAGGGCACTCACACCCAGGACCTTTTGCAGAAGCTGATCAGTGTTGCTGGCAAGGAAGTTTGAAGAGCACACCCACACCTGTGTCAGGTACATATTGGCACAAACATACACAAATGCACCAGAGGGATACACACATCCAGAGACCCACGTTCAGGCCCATCCATGCACACCACATGTCCTATCCGGATGTGAGTTACACACACACACAGTCAGAAAGAGCAGATGAGGAGACAGGCAAGACTAGCAGCCTGGCGGATGGGAGAGGCAGATGCTAAGTGATTAGTAGGTGAGAAAAGGTGGAGGAAGATAGATGAAACAGAGGGCCTGGGTGGGAAGGAAGGCTGCTCAGTGGTTGGCAAAGTTCCCAAAGCATATTTATTTCTGAAGCAACTGAATTCTCAGCTGCATAGCTGACCCACGGCTGCAGAGCTCGGGGACACTCTCCTGGACTCCCCAGAGCTGCTCCGCCCCAGCAGGGTCACTGAGGAGGCTGCCAGCTGCTCCTACCCACTCCATCTGGCAGACACCTGCCCCTACAGCTGACTTTGTAGCCCATCATCTGCAGTATGCCAATGGGCTCAAGTGAGCCTGAGACACCGGCTGGATTTAGGCCACCTCTGCTTGGGTGCTGGCCACCATGACAGCTATGTGGGGATTCATGGCCTTGACTATCAAGAGGGAAAGGAAAAGGTTGGGAAGAGTCAAGAGTTCTCCATTAATTTACACAATATCATACAAACTGGAGCACGTGGGACATGGAGGTGCTCTCCCTGCCACGTGACCCATTTGCTTTCATCTGTACAGAAGTCGCCGTGAGGGAAGTGGTAGATGTCCAGTGACGAAGGACAGCTCCCTGGCTGGGGAGCAAACGGTCTTGTTTGGTGGACAGACTTGTGCAACAGCAGCGGAGGGCACATTCCTCCTCCCTCTCGAACTGTGTCCCCCTCTTTGCTCATAGCTCTTGTGACCAGCTGAGTGGTGAACTTCTGAAATGAGGGGACTAGAGCCTGGGGTGTCCAAGAACCGGGCTGTGAAGACACACAGGGTCCTCGGCCCAGTGGTGGTGTTCTCGGTTCTGCCCTCTGGGAATTTCAGCTGCACTAAAAATAATAGAAAAATGCAACACACACGATAAAACCCGCACTCAGCAAACATCCACCGCACACACACTCTAGGGACCAGAAGCTGCAGAACTGGCACCCACTTGGGCCTGCCCCTCATTGTCTTCCTGGCCTCTGGGCCTCCATGCTGGGCCCTGAAACCATCCCAATGGACAGAGAGACAACAGTCAGAATGCAGTATTTCCATTTTAAAAGGTGAAAAGGAAGAAAGGGAACCACCCAAAGTAGTTTCTCACACACACACACACACACACACACACACACACACACACACATCACAGCATCACTCCAAGGCTCCGGCTGCCCAGGGAGTGCAGGTGGGGTCGGGGCAAGGCGGCCTCTTATTGAACGCGGTGTAAGGCAGCTGGAAGGTAAGACTGGGTTTTCTGAGCATCCGCTGAAGTGTCCTTTCATTGATGCAGATCTTGCCTCTCAGCAGGTTGTTCTCTCCCCCTTCCCACCTCTAGAACTTTGTCCAAAAGTTTGGCAGCAAAGAGAAAACTCCCTTCTTGCTTTGTTCTCTCCTCCACTTCTGATGTGTCACTGGTGGGCCAGAGGGAACCAGGACAGGAAGAGCAGGAGGAGTGGTTCTGCCACAGCCTTGAAGGTTTGGTGACATTCTGTGAATAAGGGTGTTGCTTCTCTGTGATATGATCAGTGTGGGGGTGACTGGCCTGGTGGGTGGCACTTCCTTCCCTATATCGGTGTCTCTCCAGCCCCCTGGCACTGTCCCTGCCCAGCCCACCACCCCATCCTCATGAGAGACGGGGATTGGGATGCTGTCTCGAGTGGTGATGTTCACTCTGTCTCCAGGGAACATGGAACCAAAAGTTAAGAATTGATGGAAGAGCCACGTGGTGGGAACGCCTTCCCCATCTCGGCGATGAGGCAACACACACAACGTCCGACGAGATGCGGTGCCTGAGCCACCTCCACTCTGCCTTGGCACTGGCCTCATCGGGATTTAGCTTTGTTTTATATATGTATATTATATATATATTTATATATATATATGTGTATGGGTTTGTTTTTTAGCACACTGTCCCATTCTCGGGTCTGGATTTAGGGCAGTTGGTCCTCGGGACAGGTTGGACAGAAGGGGCCAAGGTACAGAAGAACCCCGAGATGAGTGTGAGGCCCAGGCCCCCCCACGCACAGAACATGGACCATCCATAGCCATGGCTGATGTCATCGGGGAGTCCATACAGGTAGCGAGGGTAGCGTGACAGCTCAAAGTTGATCCCGGCCACACAGGTGCACAGTGATATGATGCAGAAGGTTCCTGAAGGACAAGGGAAGAAATAGGGGGTGGGAGGAATGGAGAAGGAAAGGGAAGAGGAGAGGGAGAGAGAAAGAGAAAGAGAGAAGTGAGGATTATTACAGTTTCAGTTTTCTTGAGCAAGAAAAAAAAGAAAAGGTTCAGGTAACAAGTTTAATATTGGGAAATATTCATGGAGAAGAGAATACTATTAAGGGATTGAAGCTTCTTTGCTCCCCAATAATTGACCAGTGTTGGATAAATTCCAGAAGCACCTCCTTTGCAAAAATACTAAATAATACCACGGTAGAGTTTTGTGGAAGGGGGAGTGAGGCAGAGAGCATTCAGTTCATGTTTCTGAAGCATTTAAAAATACACTGTCTTTGGAGACACAGAAGAAAACACCCCATTTGCTACTTCTTTAAAGAGAAAAATATTTTTATTCTTTTCTTTCTATAAATAATGTCTTACTAAAATATTGGGTTTTCCTTGAATCCAATCACCAACAGGTCAGCCAAATCCTGGAAACCCTTTCCCGTTTCTTGTAGGATAACGGTCCCCAAAGTGCTCCCCAGGGCACACTGATCCTGTAGCCGTAAACCAACGACCTCGGGGAAGTCTGTCCACAACTTCTCACCATGAAGAGCCATAGTCTGGTTTGCATATGTTACCTCTTCTAACCTTGCCTTCTGAGGCATTTCAAACACTTACTTAATGTTGGGACCTCCCCCTTTAAAAAAATATTACTCTAACCAATGGGAAGACTGCCAAAAGAAATGGGATGTTATAGAATGCTATAGAATTACACACCCATTTTTAACCAATAGCGATACTTGCTGTAGCTAAAATGAGTTCAAGAGCTTTTCTCAGTATCTCCTGTATCTTGTGTTTCTTCTCTCACCCCTGGTGGGACCGTGGTCTGAAGTTTGGAATGGCTGGGTTGGGTCGATGGAAGACAGAGGGAGAGGGATATTTTTTAGGGGTCAGGAACAAGAGAGGTGCATTATGCTTATACTTACTTAGACCTCTTGCCTCCCGATGGCCAAGTTTCTTACAGCCCTCAGGCCCATGACCTTGCGATAATGCACCCGGCCAGAGTGGCACCAATCATACCTAACGTTACTAAGCATTGCATGCTAGGGGCTGTGCTAAGTGCTGCACCGGTCCTGACCCTTTAAGTTTCAAAACAAATCCTTAAGGCAGGTTATATTATTTTCCCCATTTTACTGATTGAGGAAATTGAGACCCAGAGAACTTAAACCATTTTCCTGAGACCACGCAGCTAGTACCCGCAGAGCCAGACTACGAACTCGGGCAGGCCAGTTCCAGAGTTTGCAGTCTTATCCTCTGTGCTGTTTAAGACTGGTGTCTCGCAAGTCAGGACGCATCACAGGGCCCCTCTGTTGTGCACCTGGGTGCGAGATGAATTCTGTCTCGCCCAGTCTGGGGTGGGGTAGTCTGGAGGGCTTGTTAAAGCTATTGCTAAGTCCCACCCCCACAGTGTCTGGCTCAGTCGGTCTAGGCTGGAGAATCTGCATCTTAACACGTTCTTGGGGGGATGCTGATGCTGACCACACTTTGGAACCACTGGGTTAGGGAAAAAGTTTTATTGGACAAAGATGAAACTTAATGGTCAAGAGCACAGAGGAAGAAATACAAATGGGCAATAAATGTGAAAAGTGCTCAGTTTTACCAACAACCAAAGAATTGAAAATTAAAAGCATAGTCACAGAGCATCATCTATCAAGTTAGCAAAGTTTTATTTATTTGTTTTTGTTTTGCTTCGTTTAGAAAACTACCACCAGCTCCACAATTAGTAAGGGAGTGGAAAAATGGGCCATCCCATAGATTCTAGGGGAAGTGATGATGAAAATGACATTTTGGAGTAAGAAAATAGTTCCCCCTGGGGAACAAAGTCCTAGCTCTAACGCCGTTCAGGTGCAGAGACCAGTCAGGGGCCACTGCAGTCATCAGTGAAAAGGGCGGAGAGGGCTGCAAGAGGGGAGCAGGGTGAGGGAATGACTGCTGAGTGAATGATAGCTTTGGAGGGGCAACTTCAAGCGAGGCGTCAGGGGTGACGCACAGATGTGGTTGATAAATCAAGAAAGAAGAGATTAGGTCCAGGGGGACTAATTGCCAAATGGAAACGGCCCTATCGGTTGATAACATACACCTTGTTGCTATGTTAATGCAGTTCATTGGAGGATCTTCCTGCCGTAAGTTCCTGTTCTGAGACTTTCAAACCTTTTAACATTTCTTTTGTTTATTAGCGCTTGTCAGTGTTTCCATAGGTGAGGAGGAACCTTTTAGGGTTCTCACTAAAGATGGCCCTTGAAACCTTCTGTGCAACTTGTTAGGAAATCTGTGTGACAATGAGGAAGAGTTGGAAGAGGTTGGGTTAGTTTCCACATCTGCTACTGTTTTCCATTGCAAGCAAGGATTACTATTTTTCTGTAGTTCTTGCACTTATAAATTCCAGTTTGGAAATGTGTGTTAATAATGAGAAATGGATCCATGCAGGCACAAGGCAGAGTCCCAATAATGTGTTGTCGTTGTTACTTAGCGGCATGTTTTGACAATGAAAACAACAAGGTGCTCTGACACATGGTGGGGGAGACAGGGACATAGCAGGCAAGGACCCCACCTGCCCCAGCTTTCTGCCCAGGGTGCTGAGCCCGCCCCTCTGACCTATGGATTGGTGACTGACTGGGGAGTGTGGGGTGCAGACTTCCTACCCTCTGCTGCCACCACCTCACTGGGGTTCCCAGGGGGGGTGAGGGGGGGTGAATACAGACTTTAAATGCCTCTGTTGGGAAACATATCTCAGTGAACAGGTGGTAATAGATATTATAACATTGGGAAATGCAACCTCCTTCCATTCACACAGAGAACAGTGGTCCTTTGGGCAAGTATGAATTCCTCTCTGTCCCCCCCATGGCAGACCCTCACCTCTGGGCTGGGTCCTCAGAATCTGCCCTTTTATTTCTCATGAGAGACACGTGAGGGTCCACGAAAGGCAAACATGAAATGCGCAGTCACATCTTCTCAATAACGTCCCCTGGTTTGGGGTTTGGGCCTAATATCCAGACTCCAAGACTAACTGTAGTCCTAGAATAACAATTCCATGGAAAGACCTCCGCCCCAGGCCCTTCCCTTCGGAGCCATGCTCTGCTGCGTGCTCAGGTGCAGGAACAGGGGGGGGGGGGGGGGACTCAGCAGTGAGGATTCCCAGCTAAGTGCTGTCAGGTCTCATGTGGGGAGGCAGGCTAACCGTGATGGGGCGGAGGGAGCAGGAGATTCATCAGTAGTGAGCTCCATGATGTGCAGAGCATCTAACCAGCACATATTTGGTGAACATCTGTTTGTGCCCGGCATTATGCTAGATGCGAGGGAGATCAAAGAAGAGGAAAATCTTTAATGAAATCGCAAATAAAAAGATGAAAAGAAAGCTTATAATCTAGTTGGGAACACGGGGCATTCATGAGTGAAAAGTTGTGGATGAAGTGAAAACAACACGAGAGTGGGGATCGAGAGTCGAGCTTAGCGGCAGCTCTGAACCCTCAGTCCACTCATCAGTAAGATCAGGGGGCGGGAGCAGATGACCGTGAGGTCCTCCCGCACCTAGTGGTGTCTAGGGAAAGAGGCACAATACCCAGGAGTAAATGGTAAGAGGCAACTCTTTGATAGGGACCATCATGCTGAGCTGGGGAAGGTTTCCCCGGGAAATAGGGACTTGAAGGCGGAACAGGAATTCTGCAGGCAATAAGCAGACGGGATGCTCACCTGGTCTCCTTCTACCTCAGAGGCCCGTCGTCCTGGGTCCTTGTGCCTGAGGTGAGAAGGCGAGCCCACACACCACTGCACCTCCAACTTCTGAACTGCTTACTGCTGCCATCCCAGTCATTTCTCACATCACTGCTGGGATAAATAACGGCTGTCCTGCCTTCTATTTTTGCCTCCCCTCCCCCAAATAGCTTCCTATCACACTCAGCATTAAACCCAGACTCCTAATCCTGCTTGTATGGCTTTACTTGAGTGAACCTTGCCTACTTTTCTTACCTTGACCTCCACCCCCCATGACCATTCCCTGCACTCTAGCCACACAAAAGAGCACTCTGTGTCTGAAACTAGCTCAACTTGTACCCACCCCAGGGCCTTTGCACTTGCTGTTCCCATGCCTGAAATGGCCTTCAACTAGCTCTTAATTCAAATATCACCCTCGCAGAGAGATCCTCCCTGGCCCTCTTCTCCCAAATTGTGTTCCATGGAGGTGTCTCGGGAGCAAGAGGGAGCAGACGAAGCTCCCAGCCCTCTCTCCTCTCTGGCCCAGAATAGCCCTGCTTTGGTCTGTTTCCACATGAAATTTCATCTGAAGAAAGGAGTCCAGTAATTTAAACATTTTTGAGAGGCACGGGCCTGGTCCATTCGCAAGGGGACCTCAAGGTATGTCATTACAGAACTATGCTTTGGACAGCAAAGTCCGATGGCATTCATTAGCGGCAAGTCCACACCTTTGGCAGAAAGCGTGAAGCAATCTCAACCCTCGGTCCTGCTGGTTCTGGAAGGGGCCTCAGATTCCTACTCAGCCCAGCCCTCAGTTGCAGCTGCCTGGAGTGAGAAATGAAATCTAATTATAATTACCCGCTCTGTGCCAGGACGGGTATTCGCATGAACTCAGAGCTCAGGAAGTCCAGTTAGGAGAGATGGCACCACCCCGTGTAGCTTGTGCTAATAAGACTCCCTGCCATCGAGGGAACAGTGCCCTCCAGGCCCATCAAGTGTCCCTACTTGCAAAGTCCATCTGTGAGTGGAAAGGCAGGGCCAACGGGTATAACGAACTGTGTCAACCTAAGTGCTCCTTCTGAGTGTTCGAGCATGACACCCGCTTCCTTGCATGACCACCCTGGCCACTCCTCTCAGTGTGTCCTGTCAGCACCTGTCTGGAGGAGGAGAGGGCTCTGCGCTGTCTCGGGCTGCTGCCCGCCCTGTCCCCTCCATGCCAGGCACAGCTGAGGCTCGAGTGA